TCTCAGATCTTGTACTTGAGTAAAAGTAGAAGTACTCAGATCTTGTACTTGAGTAAAAGTAGAAGTACTCAGATCTTGTACTTGAGTAAAAGTAGAAGTACTCAGATCTTGTACTTGAGTAAAAGTAGAAGTACTCAGATCTTGTACTTGAGTAAAAGTAGAAGTACTCAGATCTTGTACTTGAGTAAAAGTAGAAGTACTCAGATCTTGTACTTGAGTAAAAGTAGAAGTACTCAGATCTTGTACTTGAGTAAAAGTAGAAGTACTCAGATCTTGTACTTGAGTAAAAGTAGAAGTACTCAGATCTTGTACTTGAGTAAAAGTAGAAGTACTCAGATCTTGTACTTGAGTAAAAGTAGAAGTACTCAGATCTTGTACTTGAGTAAAAGTAGAAGTACTCAGATCTTGTACTTGAGTAAAAGTAGAAGTACTCAGATCTTGTACTTGAGTAAAAGTAGAAGTACTCAGATCTTGTACTTGAGTAAAAGTAGAAGTACTCAGATCTTGTACTTGAGTAAAAGTAGAAGTACTCAGATCTTGTACTTGAGTAAAAGTAGAAGTACTCAGATCTTGTACTTGAGTAAAAGTAAAGTAGAAGTACTCAGATCTTGTACTTGAGTAAAAGTAGAAGTACTCAGATCTTGTACTTGAGTAAAAGTAGAAGTACTCAGATCTTGTACTTGAGTAAAAGTAGAAGTACTCAGATCTTGTACTTGAGTAAAAGTAGAAGTACTCAGATCTTGTACTTGAGTAAAAGTAGAAGTACTCAGATGTACTTGAGTAAAAGTAGAAGTACTCAGATCTTGTACTTGAGTAAAAGTAGAAGTACTCAGATCTTGTAGTAAAAGTAGAAGTACTCAGATCTTGTAGTAAAAGTAGAAGTACTCAGATCTTGTACTTGAGTAAAAGTAGAAGTACTCAGATCTTGTACTTGAGTAAAAGTAGAAGTACTCAGATCTTGTACTTGAGTAAAAGTAGAAGTACTCAGATCTTGTACTTGAGTAAAAGTAGAAGTACTCAGATCTTGTACTTGAGTAAAAGTAGAAGTACTCAGATCTTGTAGTAAAAGTAGAAGTACTCAGATCTTGTAGTAAAAGTAGAAGTACTCAGATCTTGTACTTGAGTAAAAGTAGAAGTACTCAGATCTTGTACTTGAGTAAAAGTAGAAGTACTCAGATCTTGTACTTGAGTAAAAGTAGAAGTACTCAGATCTTGTACTTGAGTAAAAGTAGAAGTACTCAGATCTTGTACTTGAGTAAAAGTAGAAGTACTCAGATCTTGTACTTGAGTAAAAGTAGAAGTACTCAGATCTTGTACTTGAGTAAAAGTAGAAGTACTCAGATCTTGTACTTGAGTAAAAGTAGAAGTACTCAGATCTTGTACTTGAGTAAAAGTAGAAGTACTCAGATCTTGTGAGTAAAAGTAGAAGTACTCAGATCTTGTACTTGAGTAAAAGTAGAAGTACTCAGATCTTATGAGTAAAAGTTGTACTTGAGTAAAAGTAGAAGTACTCAGATCTTGTACTTGAGTAAAAGTAGAAGTACTCAGATCTTGTACTTGAGTAAAAGTAGAAGTACTCAGATCTTGTACTTGAGTAAAAGTAGAAGTACTCAGATCTTGTACTTGAGTAAAAGTAGAAGTACTCAGATCTTGTACTTGAGTAAAAGTAGAAGTACTCAGATCTTGTACTTGAGTAAAAGTAGAAGTACTCAGATCTTGTACTTGAGTAAAAGTAGAAGTACTCAGATCTTGTACTTGAGTAAAAGTAGAAGTACCAGAGTGTAGGAATACTCTGTTACAGTAAAAGTCCTCATTCAAAATGTTCCTCAAGTGAAAGTAGAAAAGTATTCTCATCAAAATATAGTGAAAGACAGTAAAAGTATTCGTTGTGCAGATTGGTCCATTTCAGAATAATATATATGATATGTTTTATAATGATTGATCATGAAAGTGTTCTCAAGCTGGTGAAGGTGCAGCTAGTTTGAAGTACTTTGTATACTGCAGGGTAGCTGGTGGATTTACTCCAGGTGGAACTAAAGTCTGATTCAACACTTGATTAGATTTCACAGCATTCATCCACATCTGTGAAGTAACTAAAGGTATTAATACATGGAGTGGAGTAGAAGTACAACATGTACCTCTGACTTATGTTCACTGCCAACCTAAAAGTACCTCAACAATAGTAATCAATAATGTATTGAAAAGTTATTTGGCTCAGCCAGGTTATATGGGAGGCCCAGTCTACGACAGATCACTCATTTTGAAATATTAAACTTAGTTTTCTTTTCTTTAATTTTTCATCCTCGTGTAGAAGGCTATCACGAAACACACATGTGGTTGTTTATACTTTACAGCATAAAGAACATCTGATTTAATGTACGGTAGGGAAATAATCATTTGAGTATAAGTATATAAATATGTAATTTACAACAGCTGTAAGATGCTTGAAAAGTTTGAAAATTCACCTTGAAAAGCTTGAAAAGTGCTTGAATTTGACTTTGGAAAAGATGTAAGAACCCTGAATACTGAGCAGATACCACGGCCTGAAGTGAGCTGTTGCTTTTATCAAACGGTTACCAAGTGTGGCAATATGAAAGAAAATACACTCTAATTTAAATAGTTTTCATTAGTAAATAATGATGTTCAAAATAAAATAGTCCCTCCGTTGCCTTCTGCACGAAACATAGTGCGAGGTGGTTGCTAGGCAACAACACTAACAGCTAGCAAACATATCAGACAGAGAGCGTTGATCCATTATCTGGCTCTTTATTCACATTCATGTGTTTGTTGCTGTTTATTGTGCAGCCACTGAAACCTGTGCAGCATCAGTAGCATGCTCACGAGGTCACTTGTACAGGTTGAGGTTGTTCTGGCTGTTGCTCGGCGTGGTCAGAATATTGCTCCACTTTCTCCGGTCCCCGAGATTTGGCTTCCAGCAGCTCTGGAGAGAGCTTTCACACCTGTGGCCACTAACGCTCATCATGTCTCTGCTTTGGTTCAAGACCCCATCAGAAAGCTTTTGAATGGTGGTTGTCACTACCCGATCTGCAGCTCTGCCCGATCTGCAGCTCTGCCCGATCTGCAGTGCGCATGTGCGAGATGGTCCGCCATATTGGACAACTCCGGACGGCAACCCAAGTGTAGAGGAAACTTCTGTGTAGCTATGCAGTGGGAGTCACCGACTCAGGAAGGAGACACGGTAGGAGCAGTAGCTTTGATGTCAAACACATGATGGTTTATTTGGAGTTACGGCCGGAGGATTCACATCACAAGTCCAAGAGTCAGAGGTTCTGACTTCACGGTAGAGTTGCCACGTCAATTCTGAAGAACTCTACCCCAGACCCATGTATTTAGCTAGTTCAGAGAGCATCATCAACATGCTGCATAACAAGATAGAATGATAACACCTCTATCAGCTGACGCCAACAGGCAGGAACAGGGAGACAAAACACTGAGAGCAGCAGCCAAGGTTACAGGTGCCTGTGCTCAGTCAGGACAGTTTGAACTGATACACTGGGTCAAAGTTATGGGCCTTGGAAAATATTCCACAACACCAAGTAGGACAACATTGACACAGTGGCTTTTGACAAAGCTCAAAAATAAAACTCCAGAGAGATGAGTTATTGTTATTACAACGTGACTTCACTATTATTTAACAACTCTTTTTATTGGGTTCTTTTATTTGGGGTTAAGTACATTGTCAGAATAAGTGAGAACTGGATTTAACTTCTGTTAGACAGCTATCATACTGAATACATATTTACTGTGAATGTATGCAAAAATGTATGGCATATAGCTGTCTAACAGAAGTTAAATCCATTCCTCACTTATTCTGACAATGTACTTAACCCCAAATAAAAGAACCCAATAAAAAGAGTTGTTAAATAATAGTGAAGTCACGTTGTAATAACAATAACTCATCTCTCTCTCGTTTTCCTTTGAGCTTTGTCAAAAGCCACTGTGTCAATGTTGTCCTACTTGGGTTGCCGTCCGGAGTTGTCCAATATGGCGGACCATCTCGCACATGCGCATCGGGCAGAGCTGCAGATCGGGTAGTGACAGTGGTACTTCTCCAGTTGGTCTACCTGCTCTTCTCGTAGCTCTGCATGTCGTCCTGTAGGTGCTCTCTGGAGATAGGCACTGCTCAATCCACTCCTCCATAGTAAGACCCCCCGGAGGTCCAAGTTCACCTTAAATGTTTCCATCTTAAGCTTTGTAAGTTTGTTTCGTAACGGACTAAATGTAAATATATTTATAAAACGGACAAGTCAATTCAAGCAATCTGATTGGTTGATAGCGTTTTGGCGGACCTCTTTGATTACAGATTTGAAAACATCGTTGCTTGCTTTAAAAGTAGCACAACTCATGATGTCAAACCTTGGGAAGTATCTAGATATCCCTGCCCTAATGCCAAAGGAACTGCTCACTGAATATGTGTCGCCGTCTGATGTCTATGTCTGGACCGCTGCGTGAAAAGGAGGGTTTCTGCCCCGTTGCTTCTCCGCTGCTTTCTTGTTCCAGTCTGCATGCAGTTTGCTTTTCAGCCCAACTGTCGGCTGCAGTTAAATCGACCGGACTTCTTTCTGCAGATGTGAGCGTCCTTAACAACGGTCAATAAGTCCTCGCTGCACATTATCCCTTACATGTTTCCATCTTGAGCTTTGTTAGTTAGTTTCCTAACGGACGTAATGTAGCAGCTGTAGCTTTTCTCAGACGCGGAGGGATACTGACTTGTTGTGAAAAGTAACTACAATTCTACCCGTTGTATACGCTCATTATATCACGGCTAAGAACCAATCAGATTGATGATAATGATGAATTACAGTATAATAGGAGACCTTTTCAAAGCAAGATAAACCTTAATAATGAGCGTTAATATCTGCACTAATGAAACCCTTTAAAGCAAATAAGGTAGCAGATTTAAAACTGATTGTTACGGATAGAGCTGCAACTAACGACTGATTTACTTATTGATAAATCTCATATTTTCTGCATCCATTTAATCTCCATCCCAGTTCCTAAAGAGTGAAGTCTTTGTATATGTTGTTTGTATTGAATTTAAAGCGAAGAGATGTTGGATTTTAATGTCATGTGTTCTCCTCAGGCTGGAGCTCAGAGTGCCGTTCCTGGATCATCGTCTCACAGCATACTTTCTTTCTCTGCCCGACGACATGAAGGTTCCCAAGGTCTGTTTCTGCGTCCAAACACACACCTGTTCATCTGTGAAAAGCGCTTTATTATGAATGATATGTTAATGTGTGGAAGAGAAGTCTGCTCCAAAGCTTCTCTTGCTAACTGGACTCAATCAGGATCAGGTTTATCACCAGTTTACACGTACGAGGAATTTGACTTGGTGTCATGGTGCATAAAAACAAGAATTAAAAACACAGATAACTAATAATACAAAATATAGTGAAATATAACAGTATTTACTTTGCAATGGAATAGAAGGAATAAAATATGGAATACAAATCAGCTGTAATATAAAATATTGTTGTGCATTAATGTCCATCCATCCATCTTCTCCCGCTTATCCGTGGTCGGGTCGCGGGGGTAGCAGTTCCAGCAGAGAGCCCCAAACTTTCTTTTCCCTGGCGACATCAACCAGCTCTGACTGGGGGATCCCAAGGCGCTCCCAGGCCAGCGAAGAGATATAATCCCTCCACCTGGTCCTAGGTCTACCCCTTGGTCTCTTCCCAGCTGGACGTGCCTGGAACACCTCCCTAGGGAGGCGCCCAGGTGGCATCCTAACTAGGTGCCCGAACCACCTCAACTGGCTCCTTTCGACGCGAAGGAGGAGCGGCTCAACTCCGAGTCCCTCCCTGATGACCGAACTTCTCACCTTATCCCTAAGGGAGACACCAGCCACCCTGCGGAGAAAACCCATCTCGGCCGCTTGTATCCGCGATCTCGTTCTTTCGGTCATGACCCATCCTTCATGAGCATAGGTGAGGGTAGGAACGAAAATGGCCCGGTAGACAGAGAGCTTTGCCTTCTGGCTCAGCTCCCTTTTCGTCACAACGGTGGCGGTAAAGCGACTGCAGTACCGCTCCCGCTGCTTCCGATTCTCCGGCCCATCTCACGCTCCATTGTTCCCTCACTCGAGAACAAGACCCCGAGATACTTGAACTCCTTCACTTGGGGTAAGGACTCATTCCCTACTTGGAGTGGACAGTCCATCGGTTTCCTGCTGAGAACCATGGCCTCAGATTTGGAGGTGCTGATCCTCATCCCAGCCGCTTCACACTCGGTTGCGAACCGATCCAGTGAGTGCTGAAGGTCGCAGACCGATGAAGCCATTAGAACCACATCATCTGCAAAAAGCAGTGGTGCAATCCTTAGTCCACCGAACTGCAGACCCCCTCCCCCATGACTACGCCTCGAAATCCGATCCATGTATATTACAAACAGGATTGGTGACAAAGCGCAGCCCTGGCGGAGGCCAACCCTCACCGGAAATGGGTCCGACTTACTGCCGAGGACTCGGACACAGCTCTCGCTTTGGGGAGTACAGAGATTGGATGGCCCTGAGTAGAGACCCCCTCACCCCATACTCCCGCAGCACCTCCCACAGTAACTCCCTGGGAACTCGGTCATACGCCTTCTCCAAGTCTACAAAACACATGTAGACCGGATAAGCGTACTCCCAGGCCCCCTCCAGGATCCTTGCGAGAGTAAAAAGCTGATCCGTCGTTCCACGACCAGGACGGAATCCGCATTGTTCCTCCTCAATCTGAGGTTCGACAATCGGCCTGACCCTCCTTTCGAGTACCTTAGAGTAAACTTTCCCGGGGAGGCTGAGTAGTGTGATGCCTCTGTAATTGGCACACACCCTCTGATCCCCCTTTTTAAAAAGGGGAACCACCACCCCGGTCTGCCACTCCTTCGGTACTGTTTCCGACTTCCACGCAACGTTGATGAGACGTGTCCACCATGACAGTCCCTCAACACCCAGAGCCTTCAGCATTTCCTGGCGGATCTCATCCACCCCCGGGGCTTTGCCACTGTGGAGTTGTTTGACGACCTCAGTGACCTCCCCCCGGGAGATTGGTGTTGATCCCCCGTCATACTCCAGCTCTGCCTCTAACATAGAGGGCGGAGTTGTCGGGTTCAGGAGTTCCTCAAAGTGTTCCTTCCAACGCCCTAACACTCCATCAGTTGAGGTCAACAACGTCCCATCCTTACTGTACACAGCTTGGATGGTTTCCCTGCTTCCCCCTCCTTAGGTGTCGGACAGTTTTCCAGAACAACTTTGGTGCCGCCCGAAAGTCCTTCTCCATGTCTTCTCCGAACTTCTCCCACACCCGCTGCTTTGCCTCGGCCACGGATGAGGCTGCTGCCCTTCGGGCCTGTCGGTATCTTGCAACTGCCTCGGGAGTCCCCCGGGATAACAAATCCCTGAAGGCCTCCTTCTTCAGTCGGACGGCTTCCCTGACCACCGGTGTCCACCAGGAGGTTCGAGGGTTACCGCCCCCTTGAGGCACCTAGGACCTTGAGACCACAGCTCCCCGCCGCGGCTTCGGCAATAGAGGCTTTGAACACCGACCACTCTGGTTCAATGTCCCCAACCTCCACAGGAATGCCCGAAAAGCTCCGCCGGAGGTGTGAGTTGAAGGCCTCCTGAACTTGGGCCTCCTCCAGACGTTCCCAGTTCACCCGAACTACACGTTTGGGCTTACCAGGTCTATCCAGAGGCTTCCCCCGCCACTCGACCCAACTCACCACCAGATGGTGATCAGTTGACAACTCCGCCCCTCTCTTTACCCGAGTGTCCAAAACATACGGCCTCAGGTCCGATGATACGATAACGAAATCGATCATGGACCTTCTGCCTAGGGTGCTCTGGTACCACGTACACTTATGAGCATCCTTATGTTCGAACATGGTGTTTGTTATGGCCAATCCATGACTAGCACAGAAGTCCAGTAACAAACCACCACTCCGGTTCAGATCAGGGGGGCCGTTCCTCCCAATCACGCCCCTCCAAGTGTCTCCATCATTGCCCACATGTGCGTTGAAGTCTCCCAGCAAGATTAAAGAGTCCCCTTCAGGAGCCCCATACAGGACTCTTTCCAGGGTCTCCAAGAAGGCCGTATACTCTGAACTGCTGTTGGGTGCATAAGCACACACAACAGTCAGAGTTTTCCCCCCCATAACCCGCAGGCGTAGGGAGGCGACCCTCTCTTGTGCATTAATGTAATCCATACAATTATATTCAATTTAATATTTAATAATCCATTCCTCGCACAATTCATGTATTTATAATATCCTGCTTTATACATGTATATTTCTAACTTTTTTAACGCTATTTTATTTCAATTTGAGATGTTGACATTTTGGATTGTTTCTAAATACTAATTATATTTTATTATTAATTATTATTATTTCTAGTCTGTTCATTTCTCTAATGTTCCTTGTCTTTTTATGCTGCTGCAACGCAAGCATTACATGACTTCTTATCTTCTACAAGCACCTCATAACGTCCAGAGACTTCTTATCTTCTCCTACAAGGACCTCATAAAGTCTAGAGACTTCTTATCTCCTACAAGGACCTCATAACGTCCAGAGACTTCTTATCTTCTCCTCCAAGCACCTCATAACGTCCAGAGACTTCTTATCTTCTCCTCCAAGCACCTCATAACGTCCAGAGACTTCTTATCTCCTCCAAGCACCTCATAAAGTCCAGAGACTTCTTATCTTCTACAAGCACCTCATAACGTCCAGAGACTTCTTATCTCCTACAAGCACCTCATAAAGTCCAGAGACTTCTTATCTTCTACAAGCACCTCATAACGTCCAGAGACTTATTATCTTCTACAAGCACCTCATAACGTCCAGAGACTTCTTATCTCCTACAAGCACCTCATAACGTCCAGAGACTTCTTATCTCCTACAAGCACCTCATAACGTCCAGAGACTTCTTATCTCCTACAAGCACCTCATAACGTCCAGAGACTTCTTATCTCCTACAAGGACCTCATAACGTCCAGAGACTTCTTATCTCCTACAAGCACCTCATAACGTCCAGAGACTTCTTATCTTCTCCTACAAGGACCTCATAACGTCCAGAGACTTCTTATCTCCTACAAGGACCAAATAACGTCCAGAGACTTCTTATCTTCTCCTACAAGGACCTCATAATGTCCAGAGACTTCTTATCTTCTCCTACAAGGACCTCATAACGTCCAGAGACTTCTTATCTCCTACAAGGACCTCATAACGTCCAGAGACTTCTTATCTTCTCCTACAAGGACCTCATAAAGTCCAGACTCTTCTTATCTTCTCCTACAAGGACCTCATAATGTCCAGAGACTTCTTATCTTCTCCTACAAGGACCTCATAACGTCCAGAGACTTCTTATCTTCTCCTACAAGGACCTCATAATGTCCAGAGACTTCTTATCTTCTACATGCACCTCATAACGTCCAGAGACTTCTTATCTCCTACAAGCACCTCATAACGTCCAGAGACTTCTTATCTTCTCCTACAAGGACCTCATAACGTCCAGAGACTTCTTATCTTCTACAAGCACCTCATAATGTCCAGAGACTTCTTATCTTCTCCTACAAGGACCTCATAACGTCCGGAGACTTCTTATCTTCTACAAGCACCTCATAACGTCCAGAGACTTCTTATCTTCTCCTACAAGCACCTCATAACGTCCAGAGACTTCTTATCTTCTACAAGCACCTCATAACGTCCAGAGACTTCTTATCTCCTACAAGCACCTCATAACGTCCAGAGACTTCTTATCTTCTCCTACAAGGACCTCATAATGTCCAGAGACTTCTTATCTTCTACAAGCACCTCATAACGTCCAGAGACTTCTTATCTTCTACAAGCACCTCATAAAGTCCAGAGACTTCTTATCTCCTACAAGGACCTCATAACGTCCAGAGACTTCTTATCTCCTACAAGCACCTCATAACGTCCAGAGACTTCTTATCTTCTCCTACAAGGACCTCATAACGTCCAGAGACTTCTTATCTTCTACAAGCACCTCATAACGTCCAGAGACTTCTTATCTTCTACAAGCACCTCATAACGTCCAGAGACTTCTTATCTCCTACAAGGACCTCATAACGTCCAGAGACTTCTTATCTCCTACAAGCACCTCATAACTTCCAGAGACTTCTTATCTTCTCCTACAAGAACCTCATAACGTCCAGAGACTTCTTATCTCCTACAAGGACCTCATAACGTCCAGAGACTTCTTATCTTCTCCTACAAGGACCTCATAATGTCCAGAGACTTCTTATCTTCTCCTACAAGGACCTCATAACGTCCAGAGACTTCTTATCTCCTACAAGGACCTCATAACGTCCAGAGACTTCTTATCTTCTCCTACAAGGACCTCATAACGTCCAGAGACTTCTTATCTCCTACAAGGACCTCATAACGTCCAGAGACTTCTTATCTCCTACAAGGACCTCATAACGTCCAGAGACTTCTTATCTCCTATAAGGACCTCATAACGTCCAGAGACTTCTTATCTTCTCCTACAAGGACCTCATAAAGTCCAGAGACTTCTTATCTTCTCCTACAAGGACCTCATAATGTCCAGAGACTTCTTATCTTCTCCTACAAGGACCTCATAACGTCCAGAGACTTCTTATCTTCTCCTACAAGGACCTCATAATGTCCAGAGACTTCTTATCTTCTACAAGCACCTCATAACGTCCACAGACTTCTTATCTTCTACAAGCACCTCATAACGTCCAGAGACTTCTTATCTCCTACAAGGACCTCATAACGTCCAGAGACTTCTTATCTCCTACAAGCACCTCATAACGTCCAGAGACTTCTTATCTCCTACAAGCACCTCATAACGTCCAGAGACTTCTTATCTTCTCCTACAAGGACCTCATAACGTCCAGAGACTTCTTATCTCCTACAAGCACCTCATAACGTCCAGAGACTTCTTATCTTCTCCTACAAGGACCTCATAAAGTCCAGAGACTTCTTATCTTCTCCTACAAGGACCTCATAACGTCCAGAGACTTCTTATCTTCTCCTACAAGGACCTCATAATGTCCAGAGACTTCTTATCTCCTACAAGGACCTCATAACGTCCAGAGACTTCTTATCTCCTACAAGCACCTCATAACTTCCAGAGACTTCTTATCTTCTCCTACAAGGACCTCATAACGTCCAGAGACTTCTCATCTCCTACAAGGACCTCATAACGTCCAGAGACTTCTTATCTCCTACAAGGACCTCATAACGTCCAGAGACTTCTTATCTTCTCCTACAAGGACCTCATAAAGTCCAGAGACTTCTTATCTTCTCCTACAAGGACCTCATAATGTCCAGAGACTTCTTATCTTCTCCTACAAGGACCTCATAACGTCCAGAGACTTCTTATCTTCTCCTACAAGGACCTCATAATGTCCAGAGACTTCTTATCTTCTACAAGCACCTCATAACGTCCACAGACTTCTTATCTTCTACAAGCACCTCATAACGTCCAGAGACTTCTTATCTCCTACAAGGACCTCATAACGTCCAGAGACTTCTTATCTCCTACAAGCACCTCATAACGTCCAGAGACTTCTTATCTTCTCCTACAAGGACCTCATAACGTCCAGAGACTTCTTATCTTCTCCTACAAGGACCTCATAAAGTCCAGAGACTTCTTATCTTCTCCTACAAGGACCTCATAACGTCCAGAGACTTCTTATCTTCTCCTACAAGGACCTCATAATGTCCAGAGACTTCTTATCTTCTACAAGCACCTCATAACGTCCAGAGACTTCTTATCTCCTACAAGCACCTCATAACGTCCAGAGACTTCTTATCTTCTCCTACAAGCACCTCATAACGTCCAGAGACTTCTTATCTTCTCCTACAAGGACCTCATAACGTCCAGAGACTTCTTATCTCCTACAAGGACCTCATAACGTCCAGAGACTTCTTATCTCCTACAAGGACCTCATAACGTCCAGAGACTTCTTATCTTCTCCTACAAGCACCTCATAACGTCCAGAGACTTCTTATCTTCTACAAGCACCTCATAACGTCCAGAGACTTCTTATCTTCTCCTACAAGCACCTCATAACGTCCAGAGACTTCTTATCTCCTACAAGCACCTCATAACGTCCAGAGACTTCTTATCTTCTCCTACAAGCACCTCATAACGTCCAGAGACTTCTTATCTTCTACAAGCACCTCATAACGTCCAGAGACTTCTTATCTTCTCCTACAAGCACCTCATAACGTCCAGAGACTTTCACACGGAGAGGAAACTGCGTTTTACAAGATGCCAAACTTCGCTCCTAAACTAAAAAACTAAACTAAAACTCTTATTTAGAACCCGATCCGGAATGTTCTGAGCAGGAGCGGTGAACTCATGCTTGCTATTTCTTGTCGTTATAAAAGTTATTTGTTTTTGGTTGTTTTTTACAAAGAAATTATTTGTTTAACCTTTGATGACCTAATCTTTTATTTGCATGAACATTGTATGCTAGAGAAGAACCAGGAACGTTTGTAAGCTTCTTCTTCTTCTTCTCGCCCCGTTTGAACTATTGGAGAATTTATATTTTTATACCTTGAACGTTTTTTTAAATATTTAGATTCTCTTTGTTTTTGTTTGTTTTGTTTCTAACATGTTCAATAAATGGATTATTACAGAGACATGTCTTCTTCTGTTCGTCCTGCAGCACGGGGTGGAGAAGCACCTCCTGAGGGACTCGTTCAGCGACCAGGACCTGATCCCAGATGAGATCCTGTGGAGGCGCAAGGAGGCCTTCAGCGACGGCATGATGTCCGTGAAGAAGTCGTGGTACGTCTGTCTGCAGGAGCACCTGGAGGACATGGTACGAGACCGCTATCTTTTATATTCAGCTGGAGAAACACAGTTCAGATAAAAAATTACAATCATTCAAATATTGATCGCGTGCATACAGCTTGTTGTTTTATTTGTTTGTGACTGTTACATGCACTAATAACCAAATCAGAAAATAGCGCAATTTCATGGCATTTTTTATTCCTATTTTTTTAATTATACTTATTTTTATTATAACTTTTACATAAACCCTTTTATTATCTTTTTTTGTTATTAAGAATGCAATATTATTATTATTTTAATTTGATTTTGTATTATTATAACCATCTTTTTGTTTTTTTTGTATTAGTAATTATATATTATTATTATTACGATTTTTTTTAATTCATATTTCTAACGTTTTTTTTTGTTGTTTTTTTAAAATTATTGAGCAAAAGCTTGTATGTTTCCCAATAACCATAAAGGTATGAAAACATAATTATAAATGTATTATTCTAACTAGGGATGCTCCGATCGATCGGTCACCGATCGATATCGGCCGATACTCACTCTCTACCGATCGATCGGTGCTCTCTAAACATGCCGATCGCGAGAGCCGATCGCATGACGTAAAATACATGACACTGTTCTCTGTGCGCGGCAAAACAAGCTCGCCAACATGGCTTCACCGGTCTGGCATTATTTTAAGGTGTCCGAAAAAGACAGTAAAATAGCGCTTTGCAACGTGTGTGAAGCAGAAATCCTGCAGCTCCGCCCGCTGGACCGGTAAGCGCAGCGAAACACACACACAGGGAGAACCAGACCGCAGTTCATTTCCTCATATTCCAAACGAGAAATTACGGTAGCAAATCACCCGGTTCTTTACGACCAGAACTATTAACGGGATACAAACCGGAGGAACCAGGCATGGAGGGAGGTGGCAGAGACAGTGGGTGAAACTGGTAGGTTTTCGCCTGTTTGGGGAGTTTATATATATATATATTGCTCGCATAAAATCCCCGGGGTTTTTTGCTTTGTATGTCGGGGGCGGGAGATTCATGTGATTGGTTGTTGGTCGCGTTGCTCGCAAAAAATCCCCAAGCTTTCAGACACGCCCAGCTCCAAGATTTTCAAGATTTTTGAAAAGCTGCTGTGTGGACGTACCGTAAGAGTTAGACCTAACACACTTAGCTATTTTATCTACCTCTGGAACAAGCTAGTTATTATAAATATATTTATTCTTCATTGTCGGGTCACTCATTACTGGATCAGTGAGCTGCATGAGATACTGACAGGCTGCCAGGAGAGGGAGAGAGGGGGGAGAGAGAGAGGGAGAGAGGAAAAGAGAGCGCTTCCGCTAATTTCTCCCGTGTTATTCTCCAAAGTGAATGTAAACTTGAATAATGTACATCATTTGAATGTAATAATTAAGTTGATTGTTGTTCGTGGAAGCTCCAGTGAATGAGCATTAACTGAGTTTTAAAAATCACTTTAAATGTAAGATTTAAAGTGATGTTTAAATCTTCCATTTAGGCCCCGCCCACTCGATCGGATCGGCGATCGGTATCGGCCGATACTGATTCCGGCGATCGGTGATCGGCGATCGGCCCCGAAATTGGCGATCGGAGCATCCCTAATTCTAACATATAAAGCACCAGCCTGTAATGTTTATACTTTCTTTAGTGTGTTTATTGTTGTTGTTGTTGTTGTCCTCCTCTCAGGTGAACGACGATCAGATGGAGAAAGCCCCCCAGACGTTTCCTCACAACCCCCCCCACACCAAAGAGGCCTTTTATTTCCGCCAGGTGTTCGAGCAGCGATTCCCGGGTCGATCCCAGTGGCTCCCTCACTACTGGCTCCCCCGCTGGACGCAGAGCAGCGACCCCTCGGCTCGCACCCTCGCCTTCTACACCCCCGATAAGGAGGAGCAGTGAGAGGACAGTTCACATGCGCCGTGTTATGCATGGCTGCTGCACCTCGCGGGAGCGTGCACAGCGTAAAGCCAAAACTCACAGACATTTCAATGATCTGTGCGGCACAGTTAGTTTTGGAAAGGTATGATTTCCTTTTTGGAGGGCATGCATAACACGGCATAACACCGGAGCCTCGCTGCGGGGAAACTTTGGCGCTGTTCTGAGTTTGTTCTAATACGTCAAAAATGACGGACTGCTTTCAGATTTGTCCGTCATTGTTAAAAAAAATCCGTCATAGATGGAAAATATTCGGTTAACGCGACCTCTGGTCAGGTTTTATATTCACGGCTGCTCTATCTATGTTTTATGATGTCTGTAAAGGACCTCTTTGTGTTCATGTGTGGGTATTGCCATTGACACTGGCTTCAGGAAGTGGACGAAATGAAACCTGGAAATAAAATGACATTTAATCACCATTTAAGCATTACATTTCTTTATTCGAGTTGGCTTCAATTTGTTTATTGCAAGGCTGTTTTATGAATATAATTCATTATTAGTACATACTTGTTTTTAGTGCAGTCACTTTCTCACATTATCATTATATCTGACTTTAATTCTACTTATTTTGCTGTTTTATTCAAATTTCTGCTCAAATAAATGTCCTGCCACCGGAGGGCGCTGCAGCACCACATTTAAAACAAGAGGTAATCAGTAATCTACAGGAGGTGGACAAAGTTAAACCTGGAAATAAAATGCAATTAAATTAAAATTATGAAGAGAATGTGATAATTGTTGGCTTCAAAAGAATCGGTTTTATTGGATTTAATTCATTATGATTAAGTATTTATTTAAGTGCAGTCCTTTGATCGCTTTACCATTTCTTCTACTACTAACTGTTGCTGTTAGGGGGATTTACCAATGCATTAAATTGAATTTCCAGATAATTTAATAAGAAATGTAATTGAAAAATATTCATAATTTAAAGTGTTGAACATTAAAACTAATCTACAGGAAGTGTACAAAGTCAAACCTAAAAAATGATATGTAATTCTCCTTTTTGTCGCTGTTTTATTCTAATTTCTGCTAAAATAAATCCACCTTTTGCCACCAGAGGGCGCTGTTACCTCACCTTTTAAAACGGGTTATTTTCTAGATAATTTAATAAGAAAGAAAATTAAGAAATGTAATCTAAACATATTCATAATTTAAGTGTTGAACATTAAAATGAATCTACAGGACGTGGACAAAGTAAAACCTGAACAAATATATCCGATTCCACGTTGTGTTGCTGTTATTCTACTTTCGGCTAAAATAAATCCACCTTTCGCCACCAGAGGGCGCTGTTACACCACATAAAAAACAAAGAAGTTATTTTCTCACAAGGAATCACGCGCTGCAGGCTGGATTTGAACCAGTAAAGAAAATAATTTTAATATCTGTTACACACAGGTCATATCGCACACCATGTGTCCAGGTGGAGGCCCTTTAAAAAGAGTGTGTTGAGTTAAAGAACAATCAGTGAAAACAGAGATGAGGCACTATTACAGTGACTTCGGCAGTGCAGTCTTCAGCCATTCAGCCTTTAGCTTTGATGCTCCACAACAACAGGATGGCAGGTAATGCTAACAACGAGAATCCCCCTCCTCCTTTAAAGAAACTGGCACAGGTACAGCACTGCTACGTCACTACGATGTGGAAACAGAATCTCTTTTTATTCGGCTAACAGCTACACACAGTTTGGAGAAAAAACAAAAGCAGCGTCTGGATTTTTGGGGGTGTTTTCGATGAGGTTAGCGGCGCTTATCGTACGTCTGTAATGTGTTCCAGTCATAGGAATCTGCAGGACGACGAAGAAGGAGATCATTAATACACACACACACGCACACATAGCACTAGTATGTTGTTTAAGCATAGGATATAGCACCGTTTAATAGCAGTGTTTTACTGTGGTAGCGGTATTAAAGTATTAAAGATTTCAGGTCTTTAGAAAACTACAGTTTCTAGAACTATTAAGAGACGCTGATTTTGTGAAATAAAGAGAAAATGCTTTGTTTTTACATCAAAACACGTTCATAATGTTTTAATGTATTTAAGATGTACTCACACACACGCGCTCCACATTGATTTACTTCTATATCATCTCATAGATCAACACGTTAAAATCTCTTGTGTTAACCACAGACCTTATTTCAGCCAAAAACACATTCAGAAAACCATTGACTTCCAGATTAAATGCTGACTTATTCCCAGGTTTAGGATTCATTCCTGCACCACCAGGCATTTTGAGATATGACTGTTTAACTTACCCGGCTCCTCTTCGCTTCTTTTCCCCATCAGTCCAACGAAAGAGTTGACTTTATGCCCTAAAAGAAATATATTTTAATTTAAAAGTCCTTTGTTTAGTCTCGTAACATAATGACATCACTATAAGGGGCGGGACATCTCTAAACTGGTTGACCAATCACAACAGAGCCAATCAGAGCAGACTCGGCTCAGACAGAGGGTGAAAAGATGGAGGAGAGGACTCTTTAAAGTAGAGACACCACATACTGATATACACCTGAACATCAGCAGGAGAGGACTCTTTAAAGTAGAGACACTACATACTGATATACACCTGAACATCAGCAGGAGAGGACTCTTTAAAGTAGAGACACTACATACTGATATACACCTGAACATCAGCAGGAGAGGACTCTTTAAAGTAGAGACACTACATACTGATATACACCTGAACATCATCAGGAGAGAACTCTTTAAAGTAGAGACACTACATACTGATATACATCTGAACATCAGCAGGAGAGGACTCTTTAAAGTAGAGACACTACATACTGATATACACCTGAACATCAGCAGGAGAGGACTCTTTAAAGTAGAGACACTACATACTGATATACACCTGAACATCAGCAGGAGAGGACTCTTTAAAGTAGAGACACTACATACTGATATACACCTGAACATCAGCAGGAGAGGACTCTTTAAAGTAGAGACACTACATACTGATATACACCTGGACATCAGCAGGAGAGCACTCTTTAAAGTAGAGACACTACATACTGATAATACACCTGAACATCAGCAGGAGAGGACTCTTTAAAGTAGAGACACTACATACTGATATACACCTGAACATCAGCAGGAGAGGACTCTTTAAAGTAGAGACACTACATACTGATATACACCTGAACATCAGCAGGAGAGGACTCTTTAAAGTAGAGACACTACATACTGATATACACCTGAAACATCAGCAGGAGAGGACTCTTTAAAGTAGAGACACTACATACTGATATACACCTGAACATCAGCAGGAGAGGACTCTTTAAAGTAGAGACACTACATACTGATATACATCTGAACATCAGCAGGAGAGGACTCTTTAAAGTAGAGACACTACATACTGATATACACCTGAACATCAGCAGGAGAGGACTCTTTAAAGTAGAGACACTACATACTGATATCACCTGAACATCATCAGGAGAGAACTCTTTAAAGTAGAGACACTTACATACTGATATACATCTGAACATCAGCAGGAGAGGACTCTTTAAAGTAGAGACACTACATACTGATATACACCTGAACATCAGCAGGAGAGGACTCTTTAAAGTAGAGACACTACATACTGATATACACCTGAACATCAGCAGGAGAGGACTCTTTAAAGTAGAGACACTACATACTGATATACACCTGAACATCAGCAGGAGAGGACTCTTTAAAGTAGAGACACTACATACTGATATACACCTGAACATCAGCAGGAGAGGACTCTTTAAAGTAGAGACACTACATACTGATATACACCTGAACATCATCAGGAGAGAACTCTTTAAAGTAGAGACACTACATACTGATATACACCTGAACATCAGCAGGAGAGGACTCTTTAAAGTAGAGACACTACATTCTGATATACACCTGGACATCAGCAGGAGAGGACTCTTTAAAGTAGAGACACTAAATACTGATATACACCTGAACATCATCAGGAGAGGACTCTTTAAAGTAGAGACACTACACACTGATATACACCTGAACATCAGCAGGAGAGGACTCTTTAAAGTAGAGACACTAAGGTTCAAATTGTGTTAAAATTTAATTTTGAATTAAGTAATGTTCCCTAAATGAGACTGACAGCTGATGGAGCCGCTGTCAATCACTGGTGTGTGTGTGTGTGTGTGTGTGTGTGTGTGTGTGTGTGTGTGGTGTGTGTGTGTGTGTGTGTGTTGTGTGTGTGTGTGTGTGTGTGTGTGTGTGGTGTGTGTGTGTGTGTGTGTGTGTGTGTGTGTGTGTGTGTGTGTGTGTGTGTGGAGCAAACATCCTCCTCGTTATAATCCATAACAGGCGGAAACAATCCAATCGAACCCTCAGATGTCCCGCGGGCATTGAATGCAGCACTCCTCCCTAATGATGAGTGACTTTGAGGAATAAACGCCATATTTCTGTGTGTGTGTGTGTGCCGCTGTGTGTGTGTGTGTGTGTGTGTGTTTTTGTGCCGCTGTGTGTGTGTGTGTTTTTTTTTGTGCCGCTGTGTGTGGGAGACTAATGTACAAACACAAAACTAATCCCTTCCTCCTCCTCTCTTTGTTCCTCCTCTGTGTCTCTTCCTGTTCGTTGGCCGGCGTCAGAAGCAGAACCCATTCATCTGCTCGTTCATTAATTACCGGCCGTTTCTGAAGCGCTCACATAAACACACATATTTAACTCCATCTGTAAATATGGTGGAGGAAACATCAAAGGCTTTTCTGTTTCACAAAGTGCTTTTGAAACATCTGGCACTTCATATTGTAACTGTCAGTGACGTGAGTTTGCTGTTCGTCGCTCTGATTGTAATCGCTTTGGAAATCTATGGTGGCCCACAAGTTCAAACTCACTGCAGCTTCATGCAGATATAAAAACCCAAATGTTCCTCATGAAGAAACATCTCCAGCAACTTGACGTCGAGTGCAGCGTTTAGAGAACATGCAGCAGCTCGAGGAGACATGCGCAGAAGCTGCAGAAACCAACCGCTTAAAGGAGATTTCTCATGTCAGAGAATCCAGTTTCCAGCGTCTCAAATGTGCTTTTTTTTTTCTTATGTCCCATAAAATATAATATATTTGTGGTTGGGACCAAACAAGGTATTTAAACTCATCACCTTGGACTCTCAGGAATCAGGACGGACATTTTTCACTATTTATGGTCATTTTAAAGATGATAAATCAAGAGAATACTCTTTATGTGGCCCTATTTGATCACTTTAAGGCCAATTAAACACTTAAGGATTGAGAAAAGCACTTAACATCAATTAACATTTTTAACTTTGCCTGAAACATGAAATAAAATCAGTTTAGAGATTGTTTTTTTGCTGGTTTTCAGAATGGATTTAAGACGGCAGTATTTCTAAAATGCTGCAGGAACATTTCCTCCTGATATTCATACTCACTTTTTCGGGTGATCTGTGCATTTGCTGCGGGGGAAAGAGAATCAAGGTTAGGGTACTTTGATGAAGACTTCGATGTGTTTCCAACAGATGAAAGTCAAGGTGTGTTTTAGAGCGTACCCATGGAGCGTTTCCCCATCAGCCCGATGAACTGATGCGGCCGCGGCTTCCTCGTCATCCTCAGCAGGATCTCTCTGAACGGATCTCTGGACATCCATCCGTCCTGAAGCGCGGGAAACACGTCAATACATGCCCAGGAATATTAGGGTATGGATCCGGCAGCGAACGGGTTAAAACAATTCATAAAAGACATTTTGGGGCGAAATGAAGCAATACATGCAAAAGATAAAAGTGCTTTTAAATGGTGAGACATCATTAAATACAAATATGTTTACATGAGAAGTTAAGGAAAAATGTGCGCAATGGATTACAAGATATAAGAATACATGTGTATCTGAGACAATCCAATACAAATACTTAAATGGTAGCTGTCCCTGAATGCATCTTTAAGCAACTTATATATTAGATAATAGAGTTTTCTCACAGCCTCAAAGAATAAAACAAAATTGCGCAAATAAAAACACAAAGAAAGTGTTCCTGAATGCATCTTTAAGCAACATGTCCTCTCCCTTATAGGTAATAGCACGTGCCACCTCTAACCCTCCTCCCGCACACACCCTCAGAAATGAAAAATAAAGAACAAATGTTGCAAAAATAAGCTAAAATATGCAAAAAAAAACTGGGGAGAAAAGTCCCTGAATGCATCTTTATGCAACATGTCCTATCTCTGATCAAATGTGCGACCCCTTTTACTCTCCTACCCTCTTACCACCACGTCTTCAGAAATTGAAAATAAATGAAAATAAATGTCAAATATTGCAAAAATCAGGAAACATAAGTTGAAAAAAACAAAGAAAAATACAAGAAATCTGCAAAGAAACGTCCCTGAATGCATTCCTTCCCTATCTCTTCTAAAAGGTAACGTTTTGCCCCCTCCTGACCCCCCCCCCCCCCCCCCCCCCCCCCCCCCCCCCCTACACCACCCACCCCCCCAGAGTAAAATCAATATGCATGTTAAACTTTGATTGAGCGTCTCCTTCCGGACGCGCGCGCTGCTGAAGCTGCTGCAGGATGTTCAGGTGATTTATGGGCTGGATATTATGGTCTGGAAAGCAGCTCGGCTCCTTTCCAGACCCCGAAGTCAGAGCCTTCAGAGGCGTCCTCAATGCTGCCTGCTCTTATTGGATTTCCTGCTGAAGGCATCGTCTTCATGGGGTCCTAACGTCTGAGTGTGTTCCACAAGTCGCCTTCAGATAAATAACATCTAAACTGTTCCTGCATTTTTACTTACGTGTTTTTGTTACGATGCGTATTTTTCCATTTTATTAGGTATTTATATTTCTCATCATATTTCTTGTGTCAGGACTCCTTCACCTTTAGTCCCAGTATACTTCACATTATTTACACCAGTGGTAGAAATGGGGGCCATTTATATCAGCTGTTTATATTTGTTACAGTATTTATTATTCCAGATTGAATGTTGTTTTATTTTGTAGTTCAGTTGTTAGTATTTGTTTCAAACTAAACATTATGCAGCTGTAGCATTTTTTAAATTATTATTATAAAGTGTATGATGCATATTTCTCAATTTATATAAGCTATTTATATATTTTAAATATTGTATTTTTTTCAGATTTAATATTGTTTTATTTTGTAGACAAATTATTTGGATATTTATTAAAACTTCAACGCAACAACAGAAAATGCAACTGTAGCATTTTCTTAATTCTGAAACTATAGGATTCATATTTCTCCATTTATATTGGCTATTTATATTTTTTACAATATTTCTTATTTTATATATTTTCAGTTGTTTTATTTTGTTATTGTATTTATTGTAACTGTAAGAGAAAACATTTCTAATTCAGATTTCTTCTTCGGGGTATTTTAATGAGCATTTACTGAATCTTTATTTATTATCCCGCTTATTGTGGAGAAGTGGAAACTCAGGAACCTGCAGGAGAACTGCCTTTAAGCCCAGAGTTACAGCGGAAAGGGATTTTTCTTAAAGTCACAAACGGTCCTGAATGCCTCGGGTATCAGAGTTTGACACAGAAAGTGAAACGTAATTAGCTTTCACTTAATCATCATCCCATCAGGGTGAATGCAGAGAGCAGAGCAGCAGAAACACTCATCTTAAAAACCCTAAAAGACAATCATCTAATACTTTATTCTAGATTGTTTTTAAATATCCGTATTGCTCATCTCAACATGCAGATACTAAGGCGTGCAGGAAGGCATGAAGATGCTGAATATTATAATTCATATCGATCAGAAGCTAAATAACGATTAACACACGCGCACGGTTTACCACTTTCTTACAGAAAACGATCAGAAAAAGTCACCTATTTTCGCACCAGAACAGAATCTAAACGAGAGGGTTAGTTTCAGTGGATGGAGGTCTGCAGAGTACCTGGATCTGGTTGCTGCTCGTCCAGTAATCAGACTCTTCTTTCGGCTCGGGTTCTTCGCAGAACACTTGGGCGACGGCGAGAAAAGCCATAAAAACCGGTAACAGCAGAAACTTCATGGCGCTAGAAACTTCTTCTTCTTCTTCTTCCTCTTCTTCTTCTTCTTCTTCTTCTTCTTCTTCTTCTTCTTCTTCTTCTTCTTCTTCTTCTTCTTCCTCTTCTTATCAACAAAAATAACTCGCTTTTATATTAAAAAATACTCAAGTTCTTAACAAAAAGCACACAATGCAGTGAGCTGCTTCTGCTTCTGCTTCTGCTTCTGCTTCGCTTCGGAGCTCAACAGTAGTCCATAGCGCGCCGTGCGTAAAGACGCGGTGCCGGAGTCTCCAAAAGCTCTGCAGCACGTTCTTCGTCTTCTTCTTCTTCTGCTTCTTCTTCCGCAGTCTCGTGCGTCCTTCTGTCCAGAGAGCCCTGCACGCGCTCCTTTATAGCAGCCTGATGTCACCACAGTAGTGTGATTACACCCTTCAGTTCATCACGAACTGTAAGCGATGTGCGTCACTGCCCGAAACATCGGAGACTCATTCTGATTTTCTTTGGGGTTGTTTTATTAATGAGTTGCGTTTAATGGATCCTGCCTCTTTGACACTGGTTTGGAGAAAGGTAAGTGTTCTGCAGGAGAACAGACTCATTTGTAGCTTATAGTTTTATAAAATGCATCCTTTACCCAAAGGGTTAAAACTAAAACCGTCACTAAAATGTGACAAAGGTGCAATTAAGCCTACAGTCAAACGCAATTAGGTATTACTTATTAATCAAATACCATTAAAATGAAAGGCACATGAAGAGAGTAAATAATGAGTCAAATGGATCTTAAAAACCCATTCATCTCGATCTGTATGATGTGTGGCACGGCACGCTCTCCTCCTTTAGTTTATTTTATTATCGTTAGTATTCAGATTCACTCCCGGTGTCATTTAATCACCTGATGATAAATCACATCATAAAACATGAACAGGCCTTATGGAAGATATAAAGAGAGCTGCAGGGATGACGCATTCCTGTGTTGGACCCTGAAGGCAGCAGAAAATAATATAAACTATGCAACTACAGCACGGTCACATGACTTCACGTCACCACCGCTAAGCTAAAGGAGGCTAATGTTGGGCTATAAAGGAACTACAGCACGGTCACATGACTTCACGTCTCCACCGCTAAGCTAAAGGAGGCTAATGTTGGGCTATAAAGGAACTACAGCACGGTCACATGACTTCACGTCTCCACCGCTAAGCTAAAGGAGGCTAATGTTGGGCTATAGATGAGTAAACAATGCGTCACTTCCGGGCCAAAAATACGGCCCCACCCACTTTTGGGGGAAAACAACGCTGTCAGTTGAACGGCGGTCGATACAAATTCTGAAGTTTTTGCCAATCCGATCAGAAATGTAAGAAAACCGGAGATTTTTGGATCTTCAAAGAGCCCGGTTACAATGGCCAGACAGGCAAACAATTGCATTAAGCCATTAGAAATCGACGATCGCGCTCGATATATGGTTAAATATAGCAGTAGGCTATCGATGTCCATAGATGAGAGTAACATCTACGTCACTTTACGGCCCCGCCCACTTTTGGGGGAAACAACGCTGTAATTTGAACGGCGATCGAGCCTGAAGCCCCAGAGCTCTTCTGTTACTGTCCTTTCTTCTTAGAGGAAGTTCAGAAACACTTGATTATTTTTAATGTTTGAGGATCAATAAACGACACGGCAGCTTTCTGGCGTGATAACATTATTACTTTCCACCTCGCTCATGAGAATAACAGCTGGAGAAATTACAGCCTCGCCAACTGATTTTAATTTAACCATATATCGAGACCGATCGTCGATTACCAATGATCTAATGTAATTGTTTGCCTGTCTGGCCATCGTAATCGAGCTCTTTGAAGATCCACAAATCCACGGTTTTCAAAAACATTTGATCGGATTGGCAAAAACTTCAGAATTTGTATCGACCGCCATTCAAATGACAGCGTTGTTTTCCCCAAAAAGTGGGCGGGGCCGTAATTTTCTTCCGGAAGTGACGTAGGTGTGAAGGAACTACAGCACGGTCACATGACTTCACGTCACCACCGCTAAGCTAAAGGAGGCGAATGTTGGGTGTGATGCCGTTTAGTCGTCTCATTTAGACGCTTGTTGGCAACCACCGTTTTAAAAAATATTTACTGACGTATTTTATGTCGCAGAACAAAACGTTAAAATCTCTGCAGCTTGTATTAACCACAAACATTATTTCAGGATAACAACCAAAAAACACATTCAGAAAACCATTGACCTCCAGACCAGGGGACAGGAAGTGATGCAACGCTGAGTCAGGGCTTTAGGACTTGTTAGTGCTTAAAGAGATTGTCTATGCCTGAAAAAATGTAATGGAGTCAGCTCAACATTGTTTAACATTAATTGGGGATTTATTTAAACGCATTATTAAAAAACGCTGCTCCAAATATAAAACATCTACATTTAAAGTCTATATAATATTATGGAAGACGCTCTTTGCAAAGAAAGTTGCTATCAGAAACAACGCCTGACGTATTTTGGACGTAACCTCGTCTTTGTTTACATTAGCCTCGCTAACACTCAGAGCTAACCTGTGCTGGAGAGCATGTGTTTAAAAAGCAGGAAATAAAAAAGGAACTCACCTTGTGATAAACCTGCAAGAGAAAAAGCATTTGAGCTCCGTACTGTTTCAGAAATAATCCTTGATGTGGTTTAGAACAGGATGGCGTTTTATCACAGCAGAATTTAACGTTATCTCCGGTAGAGTTCTGATCAGGCATTAGCTCCGCCTCTTTTTAGTTTTCAAGCTAAGGACCCAAAATCAGCGTTTCTCTAACTGGAACAGAGCGATATGAGGGATTTCTAAAATGCACAATCTGTTTGTATTTTGAGAAAAACACATCACAGACATGTTTTTTATATATTTCTATATATCTGAGACCCATAAGGTATGCCTACAAATAGCATGAGAGGAGACCTTTAAAAATAAAGACATATTTCGTGCTTTATTAGCGTAGCTGCACGTCGACGATGACACACTTTAACTGCAATAAGTCCTATTTTGATTTACTAATTATTTATTTTTGATTGACTCTGGCCAACACTCACACTCAATGACCCATAAATGATGTTATATATTATCCCCGCAGCTCAATAATAAAGCTCTTGATGCACACCTCTGTTATCAAAGTGACCCGAAGCTGCCTCTGATTTCCATCAGAAAGGTTTTATTGACAGAAGAGGACGCTCAGGATGAACGGAGGACGAGCTCAACGACTGCTTGATTTACCCGAGTGTCTTTATGCCACTGACAATACGTCCAGTTTATTTACCCATGTGCTTTTCACAAATGCAAATGTGTTTCCTCGGGTGGGAATAAAACGTCCTCGACGGCAAGTGCCTTTCACGTATTTGTTCAATTAAACCAAGATGACTGCCCTTTATTTCATTTATTTTGTATCCTAACCCTTTATGCTCTCAACCTTTTTGATATTACCATATTTGATTCAATATGCTCCTTAGATAACTTTGAGATGACGGTGTTTTTAAAATGTGCTATACAAATGAAATGTATATTATTATTATTATTAAGATGCAATCTAAATAAACCCGAGGAGTTGTAAATCTCTATTTGACCTTGATTTTCTTGATTATATGTCCGTTACGAGTTCCCGGTGAACTTCGCGTGCAGTAGAAGAGACGGAGGATGTGTTTGCACTAATTTTCATTACTTATCTGCACTAAGTGGGCACAGAGCCACAGATTTAATCATCTTCACTGCTGTGACAGCTCATCCAATTAACAGACGGGAGGGGGAGGTGAGGAGAGAGAGCTGGAGAGAGGGAGGTGATGGAGCTGAGGGAGCTGAGGGAGGAAGAGGGGGAGAGAGAGAGAGCAGGAGGCCATTGAACTCACAGATAAACAGATGTAAGAAAATACTGCATCGTCAAATCAAGTCTGACATTTTTCTTTGTATTAAAGCAGCTCAATTTACAACATCAACAAAGACAAGAGTCCTCTCCTGCTGATGTTCAGGTGTATATCAGTATGTAGTGTCTCTACTTTAAAGAGTCCTCTCCTGCTGATGTTCAGGTGTATATCAGTATGTAGTGTCTCTACTTTAAAGAGTCCTCTCCTGCTGATGTTCAGGTGTATATCAGTATGTAGTGCCTCTACTTTAAAGAGTCCTCTCCTGCTGATGTTCAGGTGTATATCAGTATGTAGTGTCTCTACTTTAAAGAGTCCTCTCCTGCTGATGTTCAGGTGTATATCAGTATGTAGTGTCTCTACTTTAAAGAGTCCTCTCCTGCTGATGTTCAGGTGTATATCAGTATGTAGTGCCTCTACTTTAAAGAGTCCTCTCCTGCTGATGTTCAGGTGTATATCAGTATGTAGTGTCTCTACTTTAAAGAGTCCTCTCCTGCTGATGTTAAGGTGTATATCAGTATGTCGTGTCTCTACTTTAAAGAGTCCTCTCCTGCTGATGTTCAGGTGTATATCAGTATGTAGTGCCTCTACTTTAAAGAGTCCTCTCCTGCTGGTGTTCAGGTGTATATCAGTATGTAGTGTCTCTACTTTAAAGAGTCCTCTCCTGCTGATGTTCAGGTGTATATCAGTATGTCGTGTCTCTACTTTAAAGAGTCCTCTCCTGCTGATGTTAAGGTGTATATCAGTATGTCGTGTCTCTACTTTAAAGAGTCCTCTCCTGCTGATGTTCAGGTGTATATCAGTATGTAGTGTCTCTACTTTAAAGAGTCCTCTCCTGCTGATGTTCAGGTGTATATCAGTATGTCGTGTCTCTACTTTAAAGAGTCCTCTCCTGCTGATGTTCAGGTGTATATCAGTATGTCGTGTCTCTACTTTAAAGAGTCCTCTCCTGCTGATGTTCAGGTGTATATCAGTATGTAGTGTCTCTACTTTAAAGAGTCCTCTCCTGCTGATGTTCAGGTGTATATCAGTATGTAGTGTCTCTACTTTAAAGAGTCCTCTCCTGCTGATGTTCAGGTGTATATCAGTATGTAGTGTCTCTACTTTAAAGAGTCCTCTCCTGCTGATGTTCAGGTGTATATCAGTATGGTAGTGTCTCTACTTTAAAGAGTCCTCTCCTGCTGATGTTCAGGTGTATATCAGTATGTAGTGTCTCTACTTTAAAGAGTCCTCTCCTGCTGATGTACAGGTGTATATCAGTATGTAGTGTCCTCTACTTTAAAGAGTCCTCTCCTGCTGATGTTCAGGTGTATATCAGTATGTAGTGTCTCTACTTTAAAGAGTCCTCTCCTGCAGATGTTCAGGTGTATATCAGTATGTAGTGTCTCTACTTTAAAGAGTCCTCTCCTGCTGATGTTCAGGTGTATATCAGTATGTAGTGTCTCTGCTTTAAAGAGTCCTCTCCTGCTGATGTTCAGGTGTATATCAGTATGTAGTGTCTCTACTTTA